GATAAGAAGAAATGGCTCAACATCTGTATTCTGTCAATAATGACCATCGTAACGCGAGTAAACTCCTTTCGCATCAAGCACAGCTCTCTCATGCTAATACAACGCAGTCCACTTGGTTCTTCCATGTTTGCCCCAGGTATTCCGGGCATCCTGAGGGAGTTCCATGAGAGCTCGTCCACGGTGGCCACCTTCCTCGTTTCGGTTTATATCTTGGGTTTCGCTTTCGGGCCACTCCTCATTGCGCCACTGAGCGAGATCCTTGGTCGCAGACCTCTGTACATATACGGCAACATCCTCTTCGTCCTCTTCACCGTCGGTACCGCGCTCAGCAATGGCATCGGGATGCTCATGGCCTTCCGGTTGCTGATGGGCCTCGCGGGCTCGGTGCCGTTAACTATTGGAAGTGGTAGCATTGCCGATGTCATGCCCGTCGAGAAGCGCGGTAGGGCCATGTCGGCGTGGGCCCTGGGTCCGCTCCTCGGGCCTTGCATCGGCCCCATCGCGGGTGGCTACTTGATCCAGGCTGCTGGTTGGCGATGGGTGTACTGGCTGATCGTCATTCTGGTAATTCTTCCCTTCCCTAGGCGTAACTCACTCTCGCGCATAAGCTAACACGACTGCAGAGTGGTATCCTCGTTCCTCTGTCCTTCGTCTTCCTGCGCGAAACGTTCCCTCCCGTCTTGCTGGAGGGCAAGACGCGCAGGCTGCGCAAGGAGACTGGCAACCCGAACTTGCGCAGCAAGCTTACGGGACGGCTCAGCCCTAAGGATCAGTTCAAGCTCGCAATCGTCCGCCCGATGAAGCTCCTCCTAGTCACGCCAATCGTCACCCTCATGGCGCTATACGTCGCCATCACTTACGGCATCCTCTACCTCCTAATCACCACGTTCTCGTTCGTCTACACGGGACAATACGGCTTCGACGAGGGTGACAGCGGCCTGACGTTCCTTCCCGCGGGCCTGGGTATGATGATTGGCGTTGTAGTCTTCGGACAGCTCACCGACAGGATGGTCAAGCGGAACCAAGAAAAGGGGATCGTGCATAAGCCCGAGGTTCGCCTTGCGCCTGTGCTTACCATCCCCAGCGGCATCGCGCTTCCCATAGGCCTGTTCATCTACGGGTGGACTACCAACTTCGGCGTGCACTGGATCGTCCCCATGCTTGGCGTTCTCATTTTCAGTGCCGGACTGATGGGTGTCATGGTAAGTTCCACGCCGCACACTTCCTCTGTTGACTTATACATGGGCTAAGCTAACACGTGCTCTAGTTCTGCGTCCAGAACTACCTTCTCGACACCTATCCCCTCTACGCAGCATCAGTCACGGCGGCTATGACCGTCCTTCGATCGCTACTTGGCGCGCTCCTTCCCCTGGGCGGTCTCGAAATGTACAACGCCCTTGGCCTGGGATGGGGCAACAGTCTGCTCGGGTTCGTCGCGCTTGGTCTCATTCCTATCCCACTTGTTTTCTTTATATATGGAGAGCGCATCCGGAGCAAGTTCAACCCTAAGTTATGATGATACCCAACTTGACCTGAAAGTATAGTTGCGAGTTGGATACTTCGCAATTCTTTTTTGTACATACAGACTATAGACTAGAGATACGTACCTAATGTATATACGTAATACGGCCTTGACATGTTCATACCTTCAATAGTGGTTTCGATTTTCTTCTTGGCTTGAGTCTTAGTTCGAGCATAGGGATTGAATATCTTCTCGTGTCCGGGAATGAGAGCTCTCCAATCTACGTGTATCCTCCCCGAGCTCACTCTTGCTCGTCGTAGGATGTTCTTGTAGAAAATGATGGTAGTATAGTTCTTTGTTACCCAGAACCCCCATCCAGCCATGGGGCACAAGACAGAAATAAAGGAGGTACTTGCATTAATGTGATCTTAAATCCCATATTAACCCAATGCACACAGTGTTCCCGGGGTGTTCCCAGAGCGGTCTTGGCCGGAGCCGGTCCGGAAGGTACCCGGGGGATGGGATATCGGGTCGATCTGGTGATTTCCTAACCAGGCAATGCTCATATGTTAAGGGTCGATTGGCTTTGTTCCTTCCAAAACACATGTGAGGTAGGCAAGCGAAGTCCACTAAACTAGGCTTTGTTGCAAGGGTCTAGGGATTTTCTAGAAATATCCTACGTCATTGCAATTGGAGCTTCCATCAACCAACTCCTCGGAATCGTTTCCATCGGAATATCAATTAGAATAATACACCTTATAGACGAGACTAGACCCAGATCTTTACTTACCTGCCGGTATATATGCATTTCTTCTGCAACATATTTAGATGACGACAATGTCAGCATCTGAAGAGGGGGAGGACGAGACTGAGCGCTCGCGTAGAAGCTCTTCTCGGGTCATAGAACCCGACGCGGATTCCCCCGCAACCGAGGCTGGCGGAAGGTCGTCCAGTTGCGAATGTCCCCAGACTGAGAAAGATCATGATGGCCACCGACCGTGTACCCTCGACACGCGTCCGTCTCAGATACGCGCAACTGGCAGGGATGTATCAGACGGAGGGTCGGGAACGCTCTCGCGGACGGTTTCTAGACGAGACACCGCGCTGTCGCGCATACGGTCCCGGCCACCCGTACCGCCATTCAACCATCCGCTCTCCAAGCAAAAGACTGGCCAAGATTGCATCGTCGACTTCGACGGCCCGGACGATCCATATCGTCCGGTAAACTGGCCGCGGCATAAGAAGGTGGTCACGACCATGCTTTACGGTCTAGTCACAATGACAGCTACATGGGCATCCTCGTCCTATTCCGCCGGTACGGCGCAGATCGCCGAGCAATTCGGCGTCGGCAGGCAAGTGGCTACACTAGGCACGACTCTCTTCCTCCTCGGCTTCGGAATAGGCCCGCTACTCTGGGCGCCGCTCTCGGAAGTCTATGGTCGACGCGTCGCGGTATTGACGCCTATGTTCGTGTCCATATGCTTCTCGTTCGGTTCGGCGGTCGCCAAGGATTTTCAGACGCTTATGTTGACGCGATTCTGGGGCGCCTTTTTCGCCTCGGCGCCGGTGACCAATACCGGTGGTGTGTTGGGAGATCTCTTCACGCCGGCTTATAGAGGTATTGCGATGGCAGGTTATGCAATGGCCGTAGTGGGCGGACCTACTGTCGGACCTATTGTCTCGGCAGCTGTGGTGGTGCAACCGAATCTCGGTTGGCGATGGACGGAATATACGACTGGGATGCTGCAATCTGTCGTCTTGGTTTTCGCCGTTATCTTCATAGATGAGTCGTACCCACCGAGTCTCCTCGTCATCAAGGCGCGGCGGCTGCGATTCGAGACCGGCAATTGGGCTCTACACGCTAAGTTCGAGGAGTGGGATGTTAGTATCGTTGAGCTCGCAAGAAAATTCTTAGTCCGACCTATCCAGTTACTCTGCACGCCCATCTGCTTCCTTGTCGCGCTGTACGCGAGTTTCTGCTACGGAATCCTCTACATGCATTTGGGCGCTATACCCATCATATTCGGCGAGGTAAGGGGGTGGCCGCTGGTGTCGAGCGAACTGCCCTTCTTAGCTATCCTTCTCGGCTCCATCACTGGCGCGGGCATCAACATTTCCAACCAATTTTACTATAATAGGGCCTATCACGCTTCGGGCGACCGGCCGGTTCCAGAGAAGAGATTGCCGCCGATGATGCTGGGCTCCGTCCTCTTTGCATGTGGCCAATTCATCACCGGCTGGACCGCAGACCCGGCCGTAGCGCCGTGGATCGCCCCCGTCATCGGGCTATTCCTTTCCGGGTGTGGGTTCAACACCATATTCCAGGCCGCGCTTAACTATCTCGTTGATACATTCCAGATGTATGCTGCGAGCGCCGTGGCGGCCAATACCTTTCTGCGAAGCTGCTTCGCGGCTGCATTCCCGCTCGTCGTCGCCCCCTTGTACCATAACCTCGGCGTCGGGCCCGGGTCGAGCGTCTTCGCCGGGTTCGCGTGCTTGCTGATTCCCGTGCCGTACGTTTTCTATTTCTTCGGCAAGAGGATCAGAGCTGCCAATAGATGGAGCAAGAGTAGTGTGTTTTAAAAGGTCATCAAGAGGCGCATAGCATCGGCGTTGGGGGGTTGGCGTTGGGCAAAGAGGTCACTTTTATTGATGCCTACCTAGAGTAGTGGTTCGTACATATTTAACGAACATCTGCATTATAAAATCGCTGTGCATCTACACTTCCATCTATATAGAGATGGCTGAGGGACTTAGAACCTCTCGGCCTCCGCGATGTGATATCTGGGCTGGCTCCGGCTTGAGGGGCACATATAGTACCGACGACATTGGCCCCTTTTCTATATTACCGTAGCTGCCTACGAAGGCTATCCGACTGGCCGGCACACTCGGCGGCATTCATAGCGGGAAGTTCCGTTTTAATGAGGACAGGCTTGTTCCTTGCTAGGTAGGTATGCCCTGTTCGACGTGACCGATGCTAATAAGTGGATAAACATCTAGGTCAATGGATTCTGGTCAACTCGATGGGATCATTCATGTCGGGATATCGTTGGGGGGAGACCGTGTCCATAATTTTTATTGTCTGCCGGTAGCCGACGCTACAACCCGCAGGCGCCAGGACCTTGGCCTGCCGGATCGTCGATATGAAACAACGAAACCGGTGAAGCTCTTACGAGCCGCGGTATAGGATCATTCCACTGCGAAGGAAAATCGGACGTGTCGCTCGTATAACGGTGGGCTGAGAAGGACTCCGAGTTCGTCAATATCCACCAGGATATACCCGCGATGCAAGCAAGGGCCAGGTCAAGACTGAAGTCAATTTACTCTTACCAACGGCACAGCCTTCATCAAGAACTATCACATTATCACATGTAGTTCCACAAGCTACTATGAGATAAAAGAAGGTGAAAACGAAAAGGGGAAAAAATTGCAAAAAGATGGGTTGCTAATCCCAGTGAACTGGGAAGCATCAGGAATTGAGCCCGATGCGGGGGTCGAACCTTCAGTGTTCGTTAGCGTCACGTTAGCACACGTAGAGAGCATAGTGCGAACTTACCCGCAACCTTGAGATTAAGAGTCTCACGCTCTACCGATTGAGCTAACCGGGCTGTATGACCGTGATGATTCGCACAATTATTGCTTTATATATCTATGTTGTGTGCGGTGCGCGGGGCAGGCCGGCAGGTTCGGAAGGTGGGTCTTGCTTGCCCCGATGTTATGCCGGGCCTTCGCCGAATTTGATATAGCTCTCAATACTCAACAGAGTCTATTAGCTTGCGGTCTAACTTCATCACCATGTACTATGAGTCTGCCATGTAAGGAGTCTTCATCACATCTCAATTCGTGTTATCCATTCTACGCTTGTTAGTAGACAACAAGGGTTCGAATATTCATCACAAACTGTCCTACATTTCTAAGCTCGCGATGATGTTGGGTCAAATAATCCGAATTAACCGGCTCCGTGTAACTCGTCAGCATCATCCCTTACTGTCTATCAACCTGCATATAATAACGTTCGGAAAGAAATAGTTAGGATGAGAAAACCATATATAGAGGAAGTGAAAGCCAACAAGAGGGATCAGATACCTAGTCGTATTAGGATATTAAAAGACCACAGGAAAAATAAGGCGTTAGACTCGCGGAAACTTACCAATTTGAGTATGAGTATTTACAATTGTCGTTCCCTTATCCGACAATGGAACATCTCTAGTCAATTTCATCTCCTTCCCCCATTTGGGGGGCATGGTAAAAGAACGCGAGGACTTGCATAGGGAATTTGGACTGAGAAGTAGTAAAGATGTATGATTATCTCTTATTGTCATAGAGTGTAACAGTCCTATTCTAGGCAGAGCGTAATCAGACGTCCAGACTCGAGAACTCTTCGATAGCTTATTTCGAGATGACATAGCGAGACATTGGTCATGGGAGTTGGTCCAACGCGACAATGACATGGATAAGAATGAAGTTATGGTTACCTCCTGAATATATGGCTTGTCCAAGTCGAGCACTCTCTGCTCTTCCATGCCCCTGTATTCTGTCCCTTTTACCAGCTTATACAGCAAGCATCTGCCAAAACTCAACGAATTGAAATTCACATATATTAACTAGAGATCTTGAAATACTCACTAGAAGGGAAACTACGGAATAAGCAGTCGTGAAGTTGTTTGTTAACCATTCGAGACATCTAGGTTAACTACCTAGGTATGAAATTCAATGAACTAATCCTAGAACTTCCCACTACACAGGATTCTAATAGTCACCATTGCGCTCGTTACCTACCTACGTATATATGTAATTAAATCGATATAAGAGAAATACTTTTAGGAGCTCTCAGCTTTGGCAAATGGTGAGAGAAAGCAATTCGTCTTTTTCTCAGGGGATGTTTTGATCGGTTTCCGATACCGACCGTTCAATGAGGTCTTAGGTATTCCCCTTATCGCCGGCGCTACAATAATTCTAGGTACCCATTCAGCTTACTCAATGGCCAATCAGAGGTCCTTATCACATCCATCTAAAACATCAAGTTCGTACTTGCATATCAGGTCCCTGACGCTAAGCCGTTTTAAGACTGTCGAAATCTAATTATATGATTGGTTTACGCTATTTAACGCATAGACCCAATCAAATCGTTCATGATCCATCCAACACCTTCCAGCAACTTACCTACCTACCCAATGTCTTCATTCGTCACTACAATCTCTCGTGGTCGTCGGTCAAGCCTTTCAATCAGCCATCGTCTTTGAAGATGACATTCGGTAAGATGCTGGGGGTGGTCAGCAATCGTGAATCTAGGCTCGGCCACCTACTTATCTTGGAAGACCATTCCACTGATGCGCACAGGGGTTTATCAAGTGCTGACAATCAATCGTCTGTGTGAAGAGGCCCCTGATCTACATAGCGCATACATTTATCGACTGATGACCATCCAGAAGCTACGTGTCTCGCCAGCGAAAAACCTGCGAGTGTGAGCCACAAGCAATTCATAGTCCCGAGCCTGCTAATATACGCCCAAGAGTTGAGCTACGGAGAGGCGTTGATGAAATACCCTAGCGGCACTTGTATCGTCAGAGGCACAACCTACTGGACGTTGGCTGGTGAGCCGTTGATCATTGAGGCTCAAACTAATAAAATGAATTGAAGCGTCTATCGAATTCTAGTCTCTGGTCAGGGTCAAAGCCTGTACATTACGAGACCGGGTTCCTCATTCGGTACTATGCACAAGAGCCCAGCAAGCCATCATAGCGGATGGCTTTCTGATCCCGTGCCCGATTCAACTGTTCGTCATTACGAGCGAATGCTCTCATTGTTTAGCGCTCCATCTTACCGCGCGCAATTCTGATTTTTAATGACAATATCGCCCAGTCAAAAGCTCGACGATAGGTAGAAATTCTCTGAATTTCCCGTTAGCCGCCGGAGCCGCAATTGATTGAGCAATTAGATTATGGAGATCGATCTTTCTTTATCTGACGGGTCTCAAAAGGGGAAAGTCCGCATCGTGAAGTTGAGATTACCTACAGAGCACGTATCTCCAAGCGAACCAAACTCCCCGCAGCTGGACTGACGATCATTTACCAAAATGCCGTTGCCTGCAGGTTGGTACCTGCATGCTGCAGGAGAACGCGCAGAACATTGAAGGATTCAGGTCCCTTAGCGAGGTGTGAGACAAAAAATAATTCGCCCTCCCGCTCAGCTAAACTGCGCGCAACACAATGATAAAATATCTTTTCGCTATCTTTGGAAGTTCGCCAGCCTCTCTCGGAGGGATACCGCTCGGCTGCAGGGAAAACGAAATTGCAGATGGACCAAAACGGACATAACAGGATCCGCAGCGCTCAATGTTAATAAGTTGGTTGACAGATTGACAGGGGCGGCAGATAGCGGTTAACCACTAGAATCCTCTTCTGGACGCCATCGCAGGGGGATCAGGGGCAGCAACTGGGGAAGACGCACGCGCTAGAGAATGCCTGTCACCTTTCGCGCGCCTGCAGGACGAAACATCCTTGAGGCTTTTCGTGGTCTAATACTGGGTAAACGACCGATTGCGACGCTATCCAATGGTAGCCCATGCCGCCATACCCCTTTCGAACAATCCAACCCCTTAGCCTAGACGAATTCTGGTCGTTTCGCTCTTTCTCAGTTGACTCTTCTCTGGTTGTCAACTATTGTTGCTGGTTTGCTCATGTTGCCTTTCTCTACCGTCAGTGAAACATTACCATTTCCTTTAGGCGACCGAGTCAATAATCTCTTGGCCAGCTTGTAACTCTCCACCATTCCAACGACTAGTCATGAGTGATAAGACAAGGGAGTAGATCGACCACCATGTCCGTCCCTCAGCAAGATCATCCGCACCGGCCCTCCCTCACGGCCAACTCTGAGACTTCTCATGCCTCATCTGATGTGTCTCTCCTTCAGCAGCCGTTTCCTTCCCTTTCAGACCAATCGCAATCCTTAGATTCAGCGTCCGCCCTACCGGTCTCAAGAAACACGCGAAATCTTGTCATCGATAGCTCTGTCATCCTGCCGCCAGTGCGGTCTATTCGGCGCAAGGCACTGTCGTCCACCGCGTCGCCCATTGCTGCTAGGTATTCCTCTGGAGAGTACCTCACTATTACGAAAGGACTTCCTCGGCCAGAGCAGCGGTTCTCTCGATCCTTCTCTGTAGACAGCCCTACCGTGTATGAGTTTCCTCATCCTGCCTTTGAGCCTACAGCTCTGCCTGGATTAGAGTCGCCTCACGACATCATACTGATCCAGGGAAACAAAGAGTGAGTCAGGGTCTCATTAATCTACAATCCAGCGCGGATCATCTAAATTGAGCATTGCTAAATTATATCTGAATTTAACCAGCAAAACTCCCGTGGCTCGCCATCCTCTAGCTGCTACTGACTCCGACCCGGCTGTCATAGCGGATGAAGTCAAACGTTCAAGCTCTCGGACTAGCAACCCTGGCAGTCTTCAAACGGACCACACCACTGACTTGTCGCAACACGACGGACAGACCGCCTATGACGACCTTTTTAGCGACGAAGAGGAAGACCCACTGAGTGAGCATATTTTGGACGGATATCACTCAGATTCGTCCGATAATAGTAATCATAATCATTCTAATACTATGTCGTTGCACATCACCCGGAAGACCACACCCCCACAGTTGAACCTCAGGCCAGAAGACACAAAATTGACATCAACCACTGATAACTACGACGTTAAAACGCCCAATACCGACAAACCATTACCGAAATCACCTGGCTCATCGAAGCTAGGGACGTTCTTTGGCTGGGCCTCTTCACCTTCGAATACGGAGGTTTCAGACAAAGGTTATTCGCCTCTTCCCTCGCCCTTTAACTTCTCAAAGGCGGCCAGCGTTTCCGATGCATCCCCCGTCACAACAATCGGACCACAATCACTACTCGACGCCCCGAAGGCGCTATACGGATCCCCAAATTCCAGGGAATACTGTGAATCCTACCTGGCAACACCACCAACCGCTACGCTACCGCCGTCTCATCAAATCGACGAGATGGAAGATGAGCTGAAGGCCATCTCGGCCGAATTGGCTGCCTCAATTCGACGCGAGATGGACCTAGAGGATCTGGTTGACAGATTACAAGCAGAGAGAGATAACCCGACGACGACTGGAAACAAGAGGACTAGCGATTACTTCTCAGATTCCGGTTACAGCTCCGCCAAGCTGAGTGAATACGATCAATCAAGGGAGGAGATAGACAAAATTCAAAGGAGATCGGAGCAAGAAAAGGCTCAAATCACGCTCGAGCTGACTAATAAACTTCAGGATGAGAGGTCCAGGAGACAGCAGCTCGATGAGCAGATCAAGGAGCTATCTGATAGGGCGTCCCAAATTGACCTCTCAAAGGTCAATAGTATCGATACTAGCGGACGTGTCAAGGAATTAGAAAGCACCTGCGAGACTTTACGGCGCAAGCTCACCGAGGAGCGGCAGGTCAAGGATAATTTCGAGGACCTGCTTACAGCGCTCAAGGGTGAGCTGCAAAATGCCTCCAATGAACGCGACAACCTTCGTGACGAGATCGTGCCTCAACTCCGAGCTCGCGTAGAGGGTCTCGAAGCGCAAGCTGCAGAGCTAGAG